GACTATAAACGACCATTGAATGAAATGATGAATTTTTGAAGAATTTTGAAAACGGAAGAAATGTTAGGTCATCATTATCAACATTGAAAAATGCCCCGGCATGAAGTGATTAACCATGCCACATTGGTAATATGGCCCACGTAACCACTTATTTACCCTATGTTTCTCCATCATGTTGCATGATGAACCACAGTACAGGTACAGCTTGTTCCCCTTGTCAATGATGTAAACATCATCTTCCGTGACCTGGGACCGGCAGTAAGGCACCTACAGAGACATATTCAATATAACCTTTAAGAAAATCTGTAATTCAGAAATTGACATAATTGATCAATAACAGGAATGTACAAAATCAGAACAGTCACATGCACAGCTTTCCATAAGAAAAGAAAACTTTAAAGCAACTCTCTCTTTCCCTAAGGCTGCAAGTACATGCAGGCTACTAGTTTCCAAAATGTACTAAAAGGAACTATGCAATTTACATTCTACTGTAAAATCTGCTGATCAAATCTGCATCAAAAAAGTTCCAGCCTTTGTAATGACACAAGGAAAGAATACTATTTCTCACTGGCAAAAGAAGCAAAAGTTGTGACTTTTCCTTGAAAAATATGCACTGTTTCTAGTGTATATTTGTATCACCATTAAACCATCCAGACTATTGCATTCCTTACCTCGGTAACGGTAACATTTTTCCTCACTCCTGAGACCTTCAGCAAGCGTGGTTTGTACTCCTCAGGTTTGACTGTTTTAAAGCCAGAGTCCACTCCACCATTCATGGTTCTTCAACACCACCAAAACAGAGAAACAACTGATTTTGAAAATTTGCTGTTGAATAGTTTACAATGCTTAACTGACAGAACTAAAAGAATTCAGAAGCTGTTTGAAGCTTGGTGCATCACAGTACCAAATCCACTTGCATTTATTTGGGCTACTTAACCCTTCAGTTTTACTTTGAAAAATGACTCACAGCTAAACATCTGGCCAACAGCATTTTGCATGCTTTCAGCCCAGCAGTCAAGGTGATTTTTTGAAAGAAAAAAACAACACTGACATCATAGATGGCAACCTACTTACGTAAAGCTTTTGAAGTATCCCTTAAACATGCTTGACTCATGTTTCTCAACCTCACGGTGTTGAACAGGCTTATCATCCAACAAGGTATCCAGCTCTACTGTTTTGTAGGCAGCAGTCCCATACTCATCCTGTCAGCCATTTCAGAAAAAAGGGAGAAAAATTACCCAGTTGCTAGGGTGATAACAACTGAACAGCATCCACCACAGTTTGTGTGAGAAGCCAATGTCTTGGAATGCAATACTTTGTACAAATTTATACATAAGTACAGTCAACCTGTCAGTTCGACCAAACATAAAAACCTTCTACCCTTTAGCATCAGACAAAAACCAACCAACAAGCTCGCTTTTTGATGGAGTCAGATAGGCTCCAAGTCTAAAGCTTCCTAAACAGCTAAAACCTAAGAATTACCGCTGTTGACTTGGAGCCAATCCAAAAATGTAGATCATAATTCAGCTCCTCGCTGTCTTTTTCTTTCTGCAAAGAAATAAAAAGAAACATCACAAAAATTAACTGTCTGTAGACCAGATGGAGATTTCTTCTTACTTATCTTACAGATTTTTAATTATAGTGACATCCGAGACGATCAAAGAACAGTATACAAGTATGTAATAATTAGTTTTGACACAAGATATATGGGACCGGTTGTAGACTAAATGTTCCTCTAATGTTCAGCCAGTCTTGAATACATGTACATGTGGAACAACGCACTTCATCAACAGCAGAGGGTGCTCCTTAGAGGTAAATCAAATCCAGTCTCGGCAAGTATGGAAAAATTAACCTCCCAAAACTTCAAATCATACTAGGGTTCTAAGTTAACAAAACATGCTGTATTATTACGGTGGTATTTTGTACACGAAAGTTAAGAGATATTCTTGTCGAGGGAACTAAGTATGTTTTGACGAAAAATGGAATTCTAACTCAATTGACTTTGAATTATCAATATTTTACTACACCAAAACCTATTTCTGTATTAAACCTAATTGTTTCCACATGATTTCCAAGCTAGTTTTTATGTTTGACTATACAGGTACCACAGTTTATCTCCTTTGAACAATCAATAGGCGTACTTCCTAATAAAAGCTAAGAGGTATGGCCACACAATTTGCATAGGCACTTTTGAAGAATTAATTTAGGTTTGTAAATCTCTGCATGATCCTATTGATAAAGTACAGGTACATGTGCATTTCTTGTTTGTCGTAATGAAGGTGTACCGGTATGATCAATTTACACATCATGGAGTAAGAAAAAACAAGCGTCAGGAAATGCATTCAAGGCTCATAATTGTACACATTAGACATGAGTGTACATGTACACCATTGCATCAGTACATTCTACTGCATATCAGCAAAAGCAAAGCTCTCCTTTCCCCAGAAGAAAGTCCCTACCAACTGACCCTACATGTATATTTTTTGGTAATGTCAACAGAAAGACAAATTTTTTTTGGAGGGGGTGTCTAATACAGAATCATACAGAGTGCACTGTGACAAATTTGAAATATTTGCAAAGATTTAAAAATCCCATGCAATATGCCCCTGAAGTCTCAAATAAAGATTGTGGTATGTAGACATACATAAGTGTTGAGGATGATGTAGGAGTCACCATTGAAGAATTTGCCATACTCCTCCTTCGGCCAGTGCTCCACCTTGAACTTATTGATGCGCCAGATCTGGAGGCCAACCTGCTGGCCTGCTCCCTTCCAAGCTGGCTCAGTCTCAGCAGACTCCTTCTTGACTTTCTTCTCTGTGTCTGAGCCAAACAGGGCCAGGTTAGAGTCCTTCCAGTCATACTTCTTGGCTTTCACTAAACCTCCAGGCATCTTGATGGTCAAGAACTCAGCTACTGATTAAGAAACCTGCAGATATGGAAAATGCACAAACACAGTCATCACAAATTTTTTTTTTCACTACACGGTGCTTCTGGTTACAAGCTTACTGAACCTTTGTCTTTACCAACATTTTATTTAGAACCTCCACTCGCCCTACTGCATTCTTACACTTCAAGCCCAACCACCTAACCCCTTTTGACTAGGATACACCCTCAATCCTTCAAAATCTGCCAACTGCCCACCATGAAAAATTGGATACAGCCCCAGTCCTCCAAATTCTCTGATATTTCTTGAATATGATCTGTGAAAGGATGCCCACTGCAAATTCTGATGGAGGATTGCCAATATAACGTGGGCAGGAATCTATACATGGCTGAACATAAACAACACTAGGTCTAACCCACAACCTTGAGACATTGCATCTGTCATAATCAGCATGACGATTTTGCCATTCATCCTCCAAAAATCCTACAAAACCGCCCAGAAGATTTTGGAGGATTGAGGATGGTTAGGGTTAAAAAGGGAAAAGTTCTGTTTGTTTTGATGAGATCACTTGACATCCATGTCCATGTTTGCAGTCCATCAAAATAATGTCACATGTGTAAGGACAGTTCATAAAGGATTCCTCAATGCTAATAAAAACATTCTCAATGATAGCATGATCACCACTTAGAGGTAACATACCGGTACTCATACAGCCAGTCAGAGCAGCTCAGAAAAAAAGACAAACAAACCCAGCCCAGGGTCTCAGCTGCTCTCAAGAGAACCAATTATGAAAATGAAATGAAATCTCATCACTATCATGCTTGGGAACCACATCCAATATCACTATCATGACAACATCACACCCTAACAAACAGTACAATAGTGCCTCTTTTCCTTGTCAAATCATCTCTTTCAGATTTGGCTGGATAATTACATGTACATATGTACAGGTACATGTACCGTAAAGCACCACTTTATCAAATTCACTTACACACGTACATTGTACATGTACTTCATGTCACTTACCGGTTTATCATAGCGTGAAACAACCTACATGTAAAACCATAGAGCTACATGTACAAACCCAGCTGAAGGGACTGCCGAAAACAGGAAGCAAACGTTTGACTGATTTTAATGTGTTTACAAAATACATGTACATGTACATGTACCTGTCTGCTTCAAATTGCAGAGATGTTTTCATGATCCTGTATATGTACTGAACAGTACAGGCATGCAGAGATTCAAACTAAACAATCTAGTATACATGTATTTCTAATTACCAGTACTTTCAATTCAAGAGCTCACGACATGTACAGTCTGATTTATGTAGCTTTATGCATGCAGCAACACTTTCTGCAGTGCTGTGTGACGTGTGCTTGTGGAACAATTGTACATGTACATGTACATGTACAGTGTACACTGACATAGCCGTTGCACAAAACGGTTTCGCTGGGAGAATCAAAAATGATTCTGTCATTCCTGTTAGGCTTAATGTTTGATTCATTTCGTTTCATTTTTCTCACTAATGGCAAAGTATAATTATAAAGTACATGTACATCCATGCCCAGGAGTGCAGAATGGATTCGCCTGCCTTAAACCAAAAGGACTGCTGACCCATTTCTATGCTCAATATCAACTTTTATAAACACCTTAATGGTCAACTCAGAATTTTACATACAGTATTTTTAAGGAAATGCTTTGAAAAGTCCTGAAATCAGGAAAACAATGACAAATCTCATCCCTTATATTAAACTTACATGTACAGTATGTACACTGTCGTACAGAGTACACACAATGTATACATGTACACTGCATTAAAATACAGAACGTAATTAATTAAACTAACACAAAAAATTGTGTTTTGAATGCAATTGTCCTGAGCAGTGCAGTTTACTGTTACGGTACCGGTACATGTATATGTACCTCTACATGTGTACATGTACAGGTATCTTACATGTATGTAATGAGATAAACATGTTCATTTACATGTACATACCGGGTACCAGTAGAGTTTAAATGTTCTCTACCTGGGTGGTCTGAACTTGTTCTTCAGAAATTTTTGCATACCTGTACAAGAGGTGGGTCATTCGGAAAAGGTACATGAAGGCTTTCAGGGAGGGGGGGGTGAGCCAATGAGTTTTACTACATGTACATGTTTGGAATGCAATGTGCGTGCTCTTTTCAAAACTTGTTTCTTTTGTTGGAGTACATACTGTACATGTACGGTACCTGTTTCATCAGCTATGAGTCTCCTTGACACAGGGGAAATGCTTCACTTATAAAATAAAAAGGTTATTTCCTGTCTAAAACCCAGTCAATCAACCAAAAATCTTCAAGCAGGAATAACTTAATAAGAAAGTTAAATTCTGATGTTGAAAAGAAATTCACTCAGCAGAGAAAAAAAGGATTGAGAAACAAGAATATGAGTCATGCAGATGGAGCAAAGGCCAACTTTATAATCTTTGAGCGAACTAGACGGCAACTTGGATGTCTGGAAACGATACAACCATGGGACTGTGATGACGGGGTTTGAGTCACTCCAGGGAGCAGAATTTGTTACCAGGGAAACAATACAGTACAGGTTTGATTCAAAACAAGCAATGTTATTGCATAGGCTTTTTTATCAAAGGTGAAAGGCTACTGAGATTGGCAAAGGGGATTATACATGTACATGTACTGTAGGTATTTTACATACATACATGAATGTACATGTACATGTACCAATGTTTCACAGATGGCCCTTTAAAGCAAAAAGCAGAGTGATTGCTGTCACGGAACAGTAGCACCATACCATTGTTACAAGTGTATCTTAGTGTACTCACTGGGTTTGACAAAGGGCGTGGGGTACTACAAATGGCCAATGACAGCACTACTATAGTCATCAGATTAAGACTACAATCTGAACATTCCAAATTCCACTTTGGTATAGTAAGTTGTATTGATCAGTTGTTAAATATCTTTCTATTTCATTCCCCCCCCCCAAAAAAAAATTAAGAATGCAATTAAGAACAAGAGGGCAAAGGACGAAATCTATTTTCATTGTACCTGGTAACTGGCGATATAAAGCAAACAACCAGCTCACACATGACACCCACTAGGATATTACTCATATACCAATATACCGGTACATGTACAGTAATTGTCTCCTACACCCATTTTCAACCCCAGTGAGTCAATAGTGCTGTCATGCACCCCATTTTAGGCAACACCCACGTGCAGTGACCTTCCCAAATCTGAACTGAGGAACTACAGTATTTGGGATACGTGTACATGTAGTACACGTAGAATTAGAACATGCACGTTTAAATACTTACATCTTCTGTTTGTCAACTGGCCACAATGCTGAATAAATTTGTATGAGTACATGTACAGTACGTATGTCGTGGACTAGAGAGCACGTGAGAATGCCCCACTTTAAAACGCCAGCCAAAACTCAGTAGCTACATGTAGACAGACTGGCTAAAACCTTGGTTGACATGGTCATGTCACTCTGTACAGTAATCTGTGTGTTAAAACTTATTTATAAACAAACACCACCACCCAACGTGACCATGTACCGGTATTAACATTTGATAATGCCTGCTGGGATTTGATAATGCCTGCTGCCTTAAAAAAAAAGCTCAGGCACCTGGATACAAGAGAGTTTAGTCCATTCCTATTGGTCAAGAGTTTGCAGAGGACGCTGCACGCAGAATGTGCCAAGCACGTGCCAAGTCCATACATGTATATGGAGATTCTTTTGGACGACTTTTCAGAAACAAAACAAAATCATTGGAAATGGAAATCTATACTGAAATCTTTCCACGATCTAACCAAAAAATGTACTTGGCTTGGCTGGTCTTAAATTATCGTTTAAGACTGGCTCAGGAGAATGGATGCTGATAATGCCCTCGTCTGTGGCCCAGGCATTACTCACGTCTATTCTCTTGAGCTGGTCTTAAATGCACACTTAAGATCGGCCAAACACATATTTATTCCCTTATTTAATACTCTCAAACTGTTCAAACTCCAGTAGCAGTTTTTTGGAAGACTACCAGGGACTACATGTACATTGTACATGTATGTACCGGTACAGCCAACTTCTTTTTCCTTCACAAGAGACTTGATGCCCCTGGCTGCTAAAGTTTGTGTAACTGGTCTTTGCATAGTAGACAATCAAAGTTACCAGTACCATACATGATGAAGCACATCATGTCAAGTACACTTAATGTATACCAGTACATCCATAGACCTTAATAACACAAAACAAACATTAGTTAAGGGATACTGAACCAAACTTGACTTTATATTAACACAAGCAGAAAGAACACGAGGCACACCCTGGCAACCTACCCGTACATGTTCTCCTCAACTCCTTTGGACCGGACACCTTTAACCTTCACCTTTTCAGGGCAAGTTTTGAACCCAAGTTAAGGACGTTACCATGGAGACAGGAAATCAAGCCATGTCTACATGCTGCTCTATTTCCTGACAGTGGTCTGCATGTGTCAGAGATTCTGATGTTTTTTGCTTGCGCGCGGGAGGTTTTCACTACATGACTGAAATGCAAGAACCACGGATCTGTTCTTCTGTTACACTTTGTACATTCACAATGGCTTGGTTATATGCAGGTGTGCAGGATACATGATAGTGTACACAAGTGCATGCTCTTTACTTCATGAACTCAATCACTGCTCCATCCTGTCTTGGATTCTCCATTTAACTTTCAGTTTTCAACTGTTCATTGTACCATGCATGTACATGTATATGAGTTTCCTCAAAGGAAAACAAAATCAAATTACTCATTATTAGACTGAAACCCATTTGGTTCAACGTCCAACCAATAACCAAGGGTGACCTAACACCAGCAATATTCAACCAACTGAAGTTTATATTCTTTAGATCACACTATACACCTCCCGGTAAGTACATGTACATGTACACGTACGGTTAATTAGTACATATATGCCATGTACGTGCATCTTTGTGCAGCCCAACATGTGGGGATTAACATGTACATGTATGCAATCTTAAAAACTTAACAGCTTTCACATTTTACATGA